ACCGACCAACCCAAAGAAGCAGGGGAGAGTGCGAAGAGCAAGGGGGCCGACTTAGAGAAGCTGATGGATGGCTCAATGTTGCACAAGTCTCCAAACCCTTACAAACCACGCATCCCTTTTCCAAGCCGACTTCGAGATGAGAGTCAAGAACAACAACTCCGAGATCTTTACAACATGCTCTCAAAAGTCAACGTCAACTTACCTCTCCTGGACGTGATCAAGAACATGCCATCTTACATGAAGTTCTTCAAGGATTTGGTCACGAAGAAGAGGAAGTTCGGAGATGGGGAGAAAGTGGTGGTCTATGAGGCGGCGAGTGCCATGCAGCATGATCTTCCAACGAAAGAAAGGGACCCCGGGGGCTTCGTTGTAACACCCCGCTTTTCCATAAATATCAGAGTGCGTTTTTCGCAAGACTTTTCTTCATAAAACATATTTATTTGCGAAATCCTTAGTGGGATGCTACTGAAAAACATTCCTTTTCTAAAATCCGTTATCTTTTCTAGATTAAAACTATTATGAAAAACGGATTATCTTTTATCAAACGAGCGTGTAATACTGTATAAAATCCATCCGGAAGGCTCGGATCAAAGTCTGAAAAATAACATGCTAGTTCGAAAGTCTGAAAACATCAGCGGAAGTAAAAACGTGGCAAATAATATACATATCATAAGTCTGTAAAAGCATATGTACTGGACCAACGACCACCTGCTCCGCTCACTCCTCGGAACCGAACCTGTCACCTGAAAAAGATAATATAGTGGGAGCGTGAGCACTAAAGCCACTGTGCCCCGCAGAAACTCATACTAAAGTAAACATTAATAATAATATCAATATCATGACTGCAGGTATATATAAGTAAACTGTAATCTCCAGACACAAGGTCTGTAACTGAACTGAACTTCCATGTGCACACTCTGATGGGCAATTAAGGCTACTGTGCCTCCACCAGAACTCTGGATGGGCAATTAAGGCTACTGCGCCTCCACCCAAAGTGGATTCCTCATATACATACCTTAAACATGGTAGAGTAATTATAATCAATGTAATACCCAGTCTGAATTCCCACCTGAACTGCTAGTCTGAAAATGTAAGTGTTGTTGCTGATCAATCTGTAAACATATATATAAATAAACAAATACTAAGTACTATGCTCAGACTTACTAAAAATAGCTGTTAAGATGCTCGACTCGATCTAAACATTTAACTGGAATAATCTCGGGGTTTAACTTGACTGACAAGAAAATCGGACTAAACTGATACCGGTGTACTGGACTGACTGGACTGAAAAATTTGCTGAAATACTGTAATGAACTCGGACCGGGTCACTGAATACTGAACTGCTCAAGTAACCGGTCTGAACCGGCCGGTTCACTGACTGGCCAGACCGCCGGCTTGCTGCGGTCGGGCGGTCAGCCGCTGGCTGGTCAT